AGAGAAAGAGAAGAGCGAGAAAGAGAAAGAGAAGAGCGAGAAAGAGAAAGATAAGAGCGAGAAAGAGAGCGTGAAATGAACTTTGAATTAGAGAAATTAAAATTACAGAACCAATCAGGACCGTCAGTTGTCAAAACTGAATTTGACGCAGCAAAAAATATCAGATTAGTTCCAAAATTTCAAGAAAAATCTGTAGACAAATATTTTCCCCAATTCGAAAAAGTCGCAGAGAATCTTAAATGGCCACGAAATGTTTGGTCAACGATGTTACAAAGTGTACTGGTTGGAAAAGCGGCTGAGGTATACTCTGCACTAGGGGTAGTTGAGAGTTCAGACTATGAGAAGGTCAAAGCAGCAATATTAAAAGCCTATGAATTAGTACCTGAAGCGTATAGACAAAAGTTCAGAAAGTATAGAAAGTTTGATAATCAAACATTTGTTGAATTTTCACGAGAGAAGGAAGATTTATTCGATCACTGGTTTAGATCTAAGAAACTTGATAAAACTTTTGCTAATTTGCGACAAGTCATCCTGGTAGAAGAGTTTAAGGAATGTGTTCCTCAAGATCTGAAAACACATTTAGAAGATAAGATTGTGAAAAATCTTGAAGAGGCAGCAGTCATATCTGATACTTATGCTCTGTCTCATAAAAAGAATTTTGTTTCAAGATCTCAGACTAGCAGTAATTCTACCAATTCAGACACATATAAAAAGAGTGGTTCAGGGTCTCAGTCTTTCACAAGTTCCCAGTCTCCATCCCAAGGTGGTTTTAAGTCCGGTCCAGGACGTGTTGAAGGATCGTCTGGAATAGGGTTGCTTCCTACTTGTAGTTATTGTAAGAAAAAGGGTCATCTGATCAGTGAATGCTTTAAACTTAAGAGAAAAAATGATTTTGATAAAACTCAACCACATGCTTGTGCGGCAGTTAGAGGTGATAAAGAAGCCTTAGTTTCGATTTGTTCTGACACTCCTGATGTCCAGGGTTCACAGTCCAGTTCTATTGATTCTATGGAGGATTATAAGCCCTTTATGTCTCAGGGATTTGTTTCACTCGGTGACTCTAGCGAAATAAAACCTGTCCAGATTTTGAGAGATACTGGTGCTGCACAGACGTTATTGTTAGAGGGCGTGCTTCCTTTGTCTGAGCAGACTTCTACTGGTGGGTCAGTTTTATTACAGGGTGTGGAGCTAGGCGTCATTGATGTTCCCCTGCATAGAATTAGTTTGAAGTCAGATTTAGTTACTGGACCGTTACTTCCCGTTCCAGGCATTTCTTTGTTGTTAGGCAACGATCTAGCTGGTGGAAAAGTTGTACCAGATCCTATAGTTTGTGAGAAGATCACTCCAGATGTCATGTATAATGATGAAGATGATGACATTTATCCAGCCTGTGCTGTTACTAGAGCGATGGCCAGAAGACGAGAAATGGAGGCAGACCATACTCAAGCCTTTGACGAGACGAATTCCTCTGTTGATATTGATTTGAATGACACTTTCTTATCTGACCTTAATGGCACTCAAACAAACATGGAACCACACAATATCAAGAAGCAAGAGAAGAAAGAACTGTTATCAAAATTTGGTGGTGAGGATGATGAGTTACATCCACTAGTTAGCAAAGGCAAGGACATCCTCAGCCGAGAACGTTTACTCTCTGAACAACATAAAAACCCAGATATCATTCAACTTAGTAAGAGGGCACTTCCACCAGAAGAGGCTACTAAAGTTGGAGAATGCTTCTATATGAAAGATGGCATCCTTATGCGAAAATGGCGACCACCTGATGCTTCTCCAGATGAAGTGTGGCGTGTTGTTCACCAGATAGTGGTCCCAGCTGCTTATCGTCGAGATGTCATGAGTTTAGCTCACGATACACCTATGGCAGGTCATTTAGGTGTCAATAAGACTTATAATAGGATTTTGAGTCATTTTTATTGGCCTAAGCTTAGAAAGGATGTTTCGAAGTTTTGCAAGTCATGTCATGTTTGTCAGATGGTAGGTAAACCGAATCAGAAGATACCATCCGCCCCTCTCCAACCAATTCCAGCTTTTGAAGAACCGTTTAGTCGAGTGTTGGTGGATTGTGTAGGACCTTTGCCTAGGACCAGATCTGGAAACCAGTATTTACTTACCATTATGTGTACATCCACTCGATTTCCTGAAGCCATACCTCTAAGGAATATAAAGGCAAAGAGCATAGTTAAGGCCCTAACCAAGTTTTTCAGTTTTGTAGGAGCACCCAAGGCAATTCAGTCGGATCAAGGCTCAAATTTTATGTCGGGGTTGTTCCAGCAAGTCATGCATGAGTTGGGTATAAGGCAATATAGATCAACTGCTTATCATCCTGAGTCCCAGAGAGCGCTAGAACGTTTTCATCAAACCCTAAAAACAATGCTGAAGACCTATTGTTACCAATATGAAAAAGACTGGGACGAAGGGGTTCATCTTGTGCTATTTGCTGCACGAGAAGCAGTCCAAGAGTCTCTTGGGTTCAGTCCCTTTGAATTGGTGTTCGGACATACAGTTAGAGGTCCTTTGAAATTGTTGAAGGAAAAGTGGCTGACTGAGACTAGTGATCTTAATCTTTTAGATTATGTGTCTGATTTCAAAGAAAAACTTTACAATGCTTGTAAATTAGCACAAGAAAATTTCAAGAATTTTCAGATGAAAATGAAAATGTGGTATGACAAAGATGCCAGAAATAGGGTGTTTAAGCCAGGTGATAAGGTTCTTGTATTTTTACCTATTCCTGGTCATCCTTTACAGGCCAGATTTTATGGCCCTTATGAAATTGAAAGCAAGATCAGTGATGTAAACTATGTAGTTAAGACACCAGGTCGACGTAAAGAGAAACGGGTTTGTCACATTAACATGTTAAAAGAGTATTTTGAAAGGTGTGACCGAAATTCTGTAAAACCAGTTTCCACTTTAGCCAATGCTAAGACTGTTCAAAATTGTATTGAAAGTGATATGAGTGTAGAAATGAATGAGAAAGATTGTAATCAGAGTGTTCGCTTGAAAAACTCAGAAATTTTGGCTGATTTTGATGCCAAACTTGGACATTTGAACATTCACCAAAAAGAACAAGTTAAAAACTTGATGAATGAGTATCATCAAATCTTTTCGGATGTTCCAAAGAAAACTAATGCAGCTTGTCATGATGTTATAGTTGGCGACGCTCTGCCTATCAAACAACATCCGTACCGTCTGAATCCAATAAAATTGCAGTACCTAAGAAGGGAAGTGCAGTACATGTTGGACAATGACATTGTTGAACCTAGTAAAAGTGATTGGAGCTCACCGTGTATTCTTGTACCAAAACAGGACGGTTCTTACCGATTATGTACAGACTTTAGAAAGGTGAATTCTGTTACCAAAACTGATTCATATCCAATACCTAGAATCGATGACTGTATTGACAACATTGGAAATGCGAAATTTGTCAGTAAATTTGACCTGTTGAAAGGCTACTGGCAAGTACCGTTAACACAAAGAGCAAAAGAAATATCTCCATTTGCTACACCAGATGGACTTTACCAGTATAAAGTAATGCCTTTTGGCATGAAAAACGGACCGGCTACATTCCAAAGGATGATTCACTCCCTTCTCCATGATCTTGAGGGATGCGAGGCCTACATTGATGATGTCGTCATATACAGCAACACATGAGATGAACATCTCCGAATCATGCGTGCTTTATTTGACATTTTAGCTAAAGCAAATTTAACTGTGAACCTTGAAAAGAGTGAATTTTGTCATGCTTATGTAGAGTATTTAGGTCATAAAGTAGGTCAAGGTTATGTTACACCCATAATGGCTAAAGTGGAAGCTATTTCAAAGTTCCCGATTCCTACAAACAAGAAAGAATTAATGAGGTTTTTGGGCATGGCTGGGTTTTACAGAAAATTTTGTCCAAATTTTTCCTCAGTAGTTAATCCACTTACAAATTTTTTACAAAAGAGGGTTAACTTTGAATGGACAAAGGACTGTGAAAAATCCTTTCATAAAATCAAATCTATCCTGATGAGCAACCCAGTTCTGTCAACTCCAGATTTTTCTAAGCAATTTAAGCTTATGTTGACGCTAGTGATGTTGAAATCGGAGCAGCTTTGTTTCAAGAACATAGTGATAATGTAGATAGAGTTGTTTCTTATTTTTCAAAGAAACTTACAAATGTCAACGAAATTATTCTACTATTGAAAAAGAATGCCTTGCTTTGTTGTTAGCTTTACAGCATTTTGATGTTTATTTGAATGTTACTTTGCATCCAATTCTTGTGTATACTGATCACAACCCCCTGACATTTTTGCATAAATTGTCAAACAAGAATCAAAGACTGACTAGATGGAGTTTGTTGTTACAAGAATACAGCTTAACAATTAAGCATATCAAAGGCAAAGACAATGTTATTGCAGACGCCTTGTCAAGAATATCGTAAACATGCTAGATTTTGTATTAATGTACATGTTTTACAATATAAGTTTTCATTGACATTCAAACTTTTTAAGGGGGGAGGTGTTGTGATATGTGTATTATTTCATTATGTATATAATTAGTAACATTCAGTTTCTTGAACATTCCAGAGTGGTCAACATGTTCGGTCATTTTATCTAGAACATTCTTAAATTTTGTGTATGTCCAGATTGTTCCAGTAATATCATGTTTTAAAAATTTCTAGAATATTCTAGATTTATATTACTGTATAAATACCCTGTCAAATCGATGCATAGAAATACTTTGTCGAATACGCACTATTGAGATATAACTGGGATATATATTTTCACTGGGACATTGTGTGCAGCAACGGACACTCTGATGTATGTATTTTTTAGATTCTTACTAAGTTTGTACTTTATGTTTGATATATTTATTATATATTACTGTAAATAAATTATTGTTAAGTTTAAATTGTGTTATTGATCTTTGCTGGCATTTCGGGTAATTCTGACCCATAACAATAAAGACATACTATAAGTTCAGAAATCTTTTTTTACTAAAAAGTAGTAAAACGTTTCCTACATGTGTATGCAACAATTTCAAAGGTCCATTAATTCTTGGTGAAAAACCTTCATGTTCACATTTAACAATCTAAGAATAGGTTCGATTGGAGTAACAACAGTTGAATGAAAAGAAGTTCCACCAACTACCATTCCAATGCAATACAGATGATCGTCTTCCTCTTCACTGTTTGGAGGATCTATTTGAAAAACAAGAGCTCCCGAATCTCCGGCAGCGGCAAACTGCTGTAATGGCGTCCCCATAATTTCGAGTTGTGAGAGATAGTCACACGGTCTCCCTGTTGGTGGATTTGTTAGATGCAGATCTACACCTCGACATCTGGCAGCCATTCCACTCAACTTCAAGGTACCTTTTGTTAGTCCACTTCTTGCCCCAATTTTAATACAACTGTTTGTGCGTTTACTTTGCGGTTTGAGATAATCACGTGTTGCTCCTGTTGAGTATTCTGGAGTTCTTTCTTTTCTGAACCCTAATCAAAAATAATATCAAATTAATTGATATTTTAAGGGTGTAAGTTCATTGATAAAAAGTTTAAATGAAACTAAGAATAAATAAATGCCCCGCCGAGTGTATATTATCAATGCAACATGAAAATTTGTATAAGGATACGAAATTTGATCTGAATAGTACTGCATTTGAATTGCTTACATCAGCTTCAATCATCATATGAAGTTTGATACTAATTTCTTTGAAGTGAAGTCAAGGTAAAAAATGCCAAGGTCAAAAAATGTTGATGCAGTTGAAAAGCTCTTAATAGTTTGTAACAGCATATGAAGTTGAATTATTATAAATGGTTTCTTTCAGTTGAATTACACCAATTTGATAAAGTGATGTCAAGGTCAAATGAAAGGTCAAGGTCAAAAATTTAAAAACAGTTAAAACGCTTACAATAATATGTCAATATATGAAGTTTGACAATAATTTAATTATGTTAGGTTAGGGTCAAAGCAAAGATCAATGTCAAAAATGTCGATGCAGTTGCATATCTTTCATCAATATGTGTCAGCACATAAAGTTTGATAAAAAAAATCTTGAATGATTTTTTTAAAACGCACAATTTGAAGGTCAAGGTCAACAATGTTGATGTAGGTGAATTGCTTACATCAGTTTGTATCAGCATAAGAAGTTTAACACTAATTTAGGAAAGTTAGGTCAAAGTTAAAGGAAAGATCGAGGTCAAGCATGTTGATGCAGTTGAATACCTCTCATAAGTATTTATCAGCATATGAAGTTTGATGAAAATATCTGAGAAGGTTTCTCAAAAAATGAGATAAACACTTATTTAAGAAATGTTGATGCAGTATAATTGCTCCTTCCAGTATAGATCAGAATATGTAGTTTAAAATATGCTATCTTGAATGGCATCTTTAAAACTGAGCTAAATTCTAATTAAAGAAAATTGAGATCAAGGTCAAAGGAAATGTCAAGTTCAAAAATGGTGAAGCAGTTGAATAGTTCTCATCAGTATGTGTACACATGTGAAGTTTGATAGCACCATCTTGAATGGTATGGTTAAAACTGAGCTAAACACTAATTTAACTAGTGAGGTCATGGTCAAAGGAAATGTCAAGGTAAAAAAAATACTAATGTTGTTTCATAGCTCTCATCGATATCTATGAGTCTTTAAAGACTGATGAAAATATCTTTGATAGTTTCTATGAAATTGATCTTTGAATAAAGCTTAACGCAAAGAGTGACGGAAGGATAGAAGGACGGAAGGACGGAAGATGTATATGACAAACACTACATGCCCCGGCCATATTCATGGCTGGGCGTACAAATGAAAAAAATAATATCCTCATGATAATTTCAAACTTTAGATTGTAGCTAAACATGTAATCATTTCTGGGAAAAATTACCAGTTTCCAATAAGTCATTAACCGTCAATTCTGAAAAAAGTCCACGCTGGGGAACACGGTCCTTCAGTTTTACAAGGGATGCATCTACTGTAACTTCTTGATAATTTTGAAATATGGATTTTACATGTTCACCACAAACTTCATTTGTATTTCTGTAAGCGTAAGACGGTTGTACGACTTCAAAGGGTATTATCGGTGGCAGATTGCTTGTGGAAAAATCATGAAAAACATGGGCACAGGTAATAAATCCTATTTCCCCTGTTCCTGAAGTGACGAAACCACCAAGAGTTCCCATTTTGTTTTCATCTGAAACAAATATTCAAACATTATTTATTCATTTGAAGGAAGTCTGTTACTTTTAGCTTCCCAGAGATCAATCCTGCATATAGAAACTTGAAAATACACTGTTTTGATTCATGAAAAATTGAGATAAAAAACAGTATTCAGGTCAAAAGTTAATTTTAAACAATACGAATCAGAGCAGAGCAACGGACCTCTTACAAACCAAATGTGGGTCCAGGTGTCATGGAGGAGTAAACACCTGCCTTGATTATCAAGAAAAAGAAGAATAGAATGTCACAATCAAAGTTGATTTTGTTACATGTATATTTATTCTCTATTTTAGCATTGCCCTGTATTGACCTTTATTTGTATTTAGTGTTTATCCTGCAATGAGTTCTATTGCGACGCTCAGGTGATTTATATATTCAGCCAGTCGCTATATAAGGTGATGTCAGGTTTGTCTTGTGTAGCGCACGTTTTTCTTGACCAGTGAAAGTAGTTTCACATGTCCATGGAGCGTTAGATGTTTTTATTCGTGGTGACTGAATCTCCTATCAGGATAAGTGCAATTAACTAACATTTATTATATTGAAAATTAATGTAGTGTTATATAAATAAAGCTTATTTTATTTTTATCCACGAGAGAAAGTGTTTGAATTGTATTCGGGAAATATTACCACGTGCACATGCTGTGAGTTTTTAGCGTAAAGTAATAATATAGGTTATTACTCAGAGTATAACGTTATATTGTACATTATTTTGCTTCGCCGTACGAAACGGTGTGATACATATTAGTTAAAGCTGTATGTGTGAACAATTATATGTGTGAACATCTATGATTTCTTTTATGTTTGGGGTCAAGCTGTTATATATATCTACGCATATTTGTTGAAGGTTCCTATACATATTTATTCATGCGTGTAACCTAGGCGACAACACGAGTGTGTGGTACGCTAGGCCGGGGCTATGTGTTCAGAAACGTGGTTTTATGTGTTTAGTCAGCACTGTGGACGCTTAATACGCTTTGGATTGGCGTGGGACATCGAGGACGCCGTGACATTCAGTGCAAGGGCGTGGTACCCGTAACAAGGATTGAACGTGGACGGCTACAGGAGTGTGGTCCTAGACTAATAATAGACATTTTGAAATTCTTAAATTTTTCATTTTGTATATTTGTACATATTTGTTTTAATATAAAATTGTAAATAGAACAACAATCTTGTTATCACTTATCAAGCATAGGCTGTCGTGACATAGAATAATTATAAGTAAGGGAATCTGGCGATTGAAGAGTTAAAGTCATCGCGTTTATCATAGAGCTTGGTTGTTAGATTACCATTAACATCTTTTTAAGTAAAATACAGGTGTATCAGACTTAGTGATATCTTTTATTTTATGCCCCCTAGAATATATTTATTTGTATGTGATTCTTAATATTCTTAATATTCTTAATATTCTTAATATGTCAATTGTCGGGCTATCTTTAATATATTAGCTTCATCTTCAGTACAGATCCCTGTGTTGGAATATTTTTTATATTACATCTGTTTTTTTTTCTAGATAACACAAGAATGCATTTTTTTTTACTTTTGAAATTATATTTTGTTTACCTTTCCTCCCTATGCTTGCTCCCATCATTAATGGATTAAGCACCTCAGACGCTCTTTTAAAATATTCGTCGTTCGGAAATAAGTAAAAGAAGCCTTCTCTCACGTCTGTTTTTATTCCATCAATTTCTTTAGGAAATTCCTTTTCCTCATACGGTACAACTCCTTTACATGAGCAATACAGTACAATACTAGGTTCAAAAGAAATGTTTTCTCCATTCTTCTTTGAATTATTTGCCGAGCCACTTATTATTTCTAGGTTTGAGTGCTCCTCGAAAAGGGAACGCGAATTCGTTCTCAAACACTGTTCTATTTTTGATAAATCAGCATTGTTTATTTTATGTTGATGGTCATGTTCAAACTTGGAAACAGACATGCATTCAGGAGAGGTATTCTTCCATAGTTTGCAGTTAATGGCAAAACTTTCTCCAAAATATTCGAATTCTCTTTCATCAATAATGTTAACTTCATCAATGACCAAGACAAAAGCATCTTTCAAACCATCGTGTAACATCTGTTTTCCCATGTAGAGATGAACGATTTTCATGAGCGGGTACCTTACACGAAACCATCTTAAGAATTCTTTGAGTACTACATTTTTGTCCTGTGCGCATTCTGAAATAGATTATTAATTAGCATTAGTGAACTACTTGTATGTACAAAATAACACACGAGTTCTTGCATGTCTGAAACACACATTAAGCATATCAGGCATCTCAATACCAATAGTGCAAAACGCAAAACGAAATATTTTATCGCATTTACAGTAAAAATGCATTAGGATCACGTAAGCAATTATGAAAAAGTACACATAATGCTGCAAAGCTCAATTTCATCACATTTAGGACATATTTTCTCTCAGATGTTTTATTCAGTGAACTCTCAGCCTAACTTAAATACTTACACTAAATATGAGCTATTCTATGGGGAAACAGAAAATATTAACGTATTTTATATATTAATTACGTATGGTTAAATTGTATTCATGAGGAGAGAATCATAAATAATGTTAACATGATGTAATAATAAAAATATCTAATTATTGTGTTGTATAGTTATATCGACTTCGTGTCAGTAGCATTGTATTGTTAACATATTAAATCATTGGAAAATATAACATAAATTAAAATCTTAACCTCATCTCGTTCATTTTTGCACATTGAAAGATCAAAGCAAGGAAATAACAATTATATGAACACTCCTGTCATTATAATCAAGAGCTTTCAATGCTCCTAAGTTTGTGTGTTTTTTTCGACAGGTGGTATGGTATAAGAATTTTCTGTCTTTTTGTTTGCTAAAATAGCGCTTTTCTGATGTTCATATAGACATGTATATTAATAATAATGATAATAATAACTAGATGAGCAACGGGTAGGTCTTTCGTTGAAATTCTCGATAAGATGAGATGTGATTTTGACTGAGATATTCGTTAAAAGAGAATGACATAAAGTTTTTCTTCATTTCTTCATGTTTCTCATTTTTATCACGATATTCTGAACATCTTTTGTTCAATAAGGCTTTAAAAAATATTCACCCTTTTCGAGAAAAGATAAAAAATATAGCATTTTGGTCCCATGCGACCCCTAATTACGTAACATATGATCAAAATATTATCATATATTGTTGCAAATAGTTAAGATGAACACTTTTACGCAAGGAATGTATAACAATATATTGATCATTAGAGAGTTATAGATAAAAGAATTTTGGCCCCTCTGAGCCCCTTATTTGAGGGGTCAGTCCCTTTTTCTTGATATCATATGAAAGGTCTTGTGATTTTGAAGTTTTTTTGTTCAACACTTATTCAGAGATTTCTTTTGGTTGTGGAGATATGCCGAATGGAAATATTATGGGGCCGCCCCTACAAGTCTGTAATAGGGTCGTTTTACGAAAATTCAAAGTATACATATTGTTTAGAATATTATTCTGACCATCTTTTGTTCAATATTGCTTATCAAAATAATTCCTCTTTTCAAGATATGAAGCGTCAAAGATTTAGACCCCTTATTACGTAAGATATGCTTAGATATTATAAAAGTTTATAATATATAGTTGCAAATTGTCTAAAATTAAAAAAATATCGAAAAATCGAGCAGAAAAAGTAATAAATTTTTTGGACACACGGGGGATTGAACCAGGGTCGACCGCGTGACAATCCAACGCCCTAACCATTCGGCCATTGGAATCGCCGCTTCGAGTTTTCAAATGCAAATATCTCAAGATTGACTTTTTCAATTATCAAACTAATTACATATTTCGCTTCTGCAAAAGAGTCCCTACTCAATTCTAAAACAAAAATATTAAAAACGAAAACGAAAAGTTGAAAAATTGCGTTTTTTGAATTCGCTTCCGGTATCGACCGGAAGTATTGACGACGCACAAAAAGGCGAATTTGCAACGCTATTAATCATGAACTATCCTCTCCAATTAATCTTCAATACATATCCTAAGCAGTTTTCGCTACTAAATCAAGAAAAAATTGTATTTTAAAATCAGAAAATCAGAAAATTGTCCATATCTCACGAGTGGAAGTGACAGCGTCAACGAAAAAAAATTCCAGTAAGATTCAGTTCAGTACCTATCAGATGTGAAAGTTTCATGAGAATTGGCCCAGTAGTTTACGAGAAATTGCGTGCAAAAAATCGGTAAGAATAATAATAACAACTAGATGAGATCTCGTTGCGAGTATTTTTCGACAGCTGGTATGGTATAAGAATTTTCTGTCGTTTTGTTTGCTTAATTAGCGTTTTTCTGATGTTCATATAGACATGTATATTAATTATAATAATAATAATAATAATAATAATAATAACTAGATGAGCAACGAGTAGGTCTTCCGTTGATTTTCTCGATAAGATGAGATGTGATTTTGACTGAGATATTCGTTAAAAGAGAGTGGCATTAAAGTATCCTAAAAAATAGTCCTCCTTTTTGAGACATAAAGCATAAAATATATAGCATTTTACCCCCTTGTGACCCCTAATTCCGTAGCATTGGATCCAAATTTTATCAAATACTGTTGCAAATCGTTAAGATGAATACTTTTGCTTCAGTAATGTATTACAAAATATTGAACATTAGAGAGTTATAGATTAAAGACATTTGGCCCCTCTGAGCCCCTAATTTGAGGAGTCGGCCCCTTTCTCTTGATACTAAAGGAAAGGTCTTGTGATTTTAAAGATTTTTTGTTCAACTCTTATTCAGAGATTTCTTTTCGTTTTGGAGATATGCTTAATGAAAATATTTAAGGGCCACCACAACAAGTCCCTAATGGGCCGTTCGACAAAAATTCAACGTATGCATATTTTTAAAACATTATTTTGACTATCTTTTTTTCAATATTGCTTATCAAAATATCCCCCATTTCGAGATATAAAGCATAAAAGATTTGACATTCTGGCCCCTTGTGACCCCTTATTGCGTAAAAAAATATGAAAGACTTTTGACCCTTTTTCTTGATACCAAATGAAATATCATGTGATTTTAAAGAATTTATGTTCAACCCTTATTCAGAGATTTCTTTTCGTTTTGGAGATACGATGAATGGAAAAATTTAGGGGCCATCCCTACAAGTCCTTAATTGTGCCGTTTTACAAAAATTGATGGTTCTGACCATCTTTTGTTAAATATTGCTTATTAAAATATTTCCCCTTTTTGAAATATAAAGCGTCAAAGATTTGACATTTTGGCCCCTTGTGAACCCTAATTACGTAACATATGATCAAAATTTCATATAATGTTGGAAATTGTTAAGATGAATACTTTTTGCTTCAGTAATGTATAACAAATTATTGATCATCAAAGAGTTAAAGATGAAACAATTTTGGTCCCTCTGAGCCCCATATTTGAGGAGTCAGCCCTTTTTTTATATTAAATAAAAGGCCTTGTGATTTCAAAGACTATTTATTCAACACCTATTCAGAGATTTCTGAGTTTTTGAGATATGATGAATGGAAATATTTAGGGACCACCCCTACAAGTCCTTAATGGGGCCATTTCACAAAAATTCAAAGTATGCATAGTGTTAAAAGCATTATTCTGACCATCTTTTGTTCAATATTGCTTAACAAAATGTTCCCCCTTTTCGAGGTATGAAGCGTCAAAGATTTAGCATTATGGCCCCTTGTGACCTCTAATTACGTAGCATATGATCAACATTTTATAATATATTGTTGCAAAGCGTTTATATGAACATCTTTGCTTCTGTATTGTATCAAAAAATATTGATCATTAAAGAGTTTATGATGAAAGACTTCTGGCCCCTGTGAGCCCCTAATTTGAGGGGCCAGCCCTTTTTTCTTGATATCAAACGAAAGGACTTGTGATTTCAAAGACTTTTTATATTCAACACCTATTCAGAGATTTCTTTTTGTTGTTGAGATATGGTTAATATAAATATTTAGGGGCCACCCTTTCAAGTCCTTAATGGGGCCATTATACAAAAATTCAAAATAAGCATATTGTTTAGAACATTATTTTAGCCATCTTTTGTTCAATATTGATTTACAAAATATCCCCCATTTTCGAGATATGAAGCGTCAACGATTTGGCATTCTGGCCCCTTTTGTCCCCTAATTACGTAGCATACGATCAAAATCTTATAATATATTGTAGGAAAGTGTTCTCTTTCCTAGTGGGCTGTTGACAAGGCCAAGCTTACTTTGTATTTTTGTATGATGGAGATTATGTGTTTGTTACCTTGAAGGGTTTTTTGCATGTTTTTTGTTGTTTTTTTTAGTTATAGTTGATTATGTAATCGTATATCATAGTTTTGGATTTTACATGTATGTATTTACATGTTTTATAATTTTAAAAAATTTTATCTCAATTTGAGTAAAATTTTTCGCAATACAGCCTGGTGTTGTGTCTTTTCGCTACTTCAATACAGGGTAAATGAGCATTTACTGAGCAAAACATTTCAGTCATGATGAAAGACGAAGGCATATAATATATTGTTGCAAATCGTTAATATGAACATCTTTGCTTCTGTAATGAATCACAAAATATTGATCATTAAAGAGTTAAAGATGAAAGACTTCTGGCCCCTATAAGCCCCTAATTTGAGGGGTCAGCCCCGTTTTTCTTCATATCATGTGATACTTCTTTTCATTCTGCATAACTTTTGTTCAATATGTCTTTACAAATTAAGAAGAGATGAGAAGATATGAAACAAAAGTTGTAAAATTTTGTGAGATGTTTATGAGACATTTTTTCGAGCCTCGGTGCCTTTTGCACTAGAAAGATTCGGAAATCAGCCCGCAACTCTACAATTCTGCCCTTACTTTCACTGAAAATCTTAATTCAATATCTTAAGTCGTTTCGGAGGAGTTTCGGCCATTGTGGCCCCGCGCCCTACAAGCGGGGGTCTTGATTTGAACTTCAATATTTTTGGCGAAAAAGCGAGCTGGAATATCAGCCATGCATTTTCTAATTGCAAAATGATCTATAAATATATTTTAGCTTTAAAAAACGATAGGTATACAGGACCTGTATCGTTATTCTTTACACGATACACGATACGATAGGATACACGCTCGATACGATAGGATAAACGCAAAACACGATACACGCAAAACACGATAAATGCAAAACACAATAGACCTGATAAACGGTTTTCACGATAGGATAAACGCAAAACCTGATAGGATTGTTTCAAAATGCAGAATGTTTTCTGACAAGACGAAAAAATTATTTTGTTTGGTTGCTGCGATATTTTAATTAGATATTTGCAAAGCTTCAAATATAAATTATAAAGTACAATTAATTATTATAATAAAAAATGTTGTTTATTTAAATACATTTTTATACAATGATTAAATGGATTATTATGAAATGGAGACTGTAATTTTTAAAATTTCTACTCAAGGGTGTGAATTTAAGATTATGTAGTAAATGTTGAATTTCTCATCTTTAGGTTGAACTATGACTCGTTTAATAATGGCTATTTCAACATACATGTATTTGTTGCACAAAAATCCCTTACATAATTATGTGCCGTTTCTCATGGGTGCTATTATAAATTTATGAAACTCTTTAACTAGACTTATTATTTATGGAAAAAAAAACAAATGTATACATTTGTACCTAATATATTTATCCACAAGTACTAAGTTATTTCACGGAAGAAATTTGCGCAATAAATTAAATATTTGCATTTAATGTCTAAAGCTTACAATCTGAGGTGTATGCAAAATTCGCAATTAAATATTAAAATATTAGGGAAAAAATACATGTAGAAGACCGGCCGAAAGAAAGGTCTAAAGAAATCGTCTTCAAAGAAATATAAGATGGCCGTTCAAAAATTACGCAGACTTGTTGCACAGAGAAAATATTTGACGACATAATCAGGCAAAATGTCACACATATTATAAAAGAATCTTTAATTTTATGGTCTTCAAAATTTCATATCAAAATTTTGTAACTTGGTATGAATTTTGAGTGATTTTTCAGGACATATCATTAACTCACGGAGCAGGAAAATCTTAATTCGACGTCACAGGCATTATGAAAAATTGTGATTGAGCTTTCATTTTCTCAACATTTTCCCAAGAGTACCTGTACAATTTGAGTTACCTTATATACTCAACATCCAAACACCATTTCTTGTCAAGCTTAAAATCTACTAGACAAGTAAAGAATATTCTTTTTTTTAAATCAAAAACTGCAGGTATTTACGAGATATAGTGTAGATATAGTTGATGTACCCGACTTTAAATAAATATTATCTTATCTTATCTTATCTTATCTTATCTTATAGTGTGATATTGGTGACTCTTAATCACGTTCTTTACAGTCCGGATAAATCTTTCCTCCATAATCTTCTTCCCATCCTCGCGTATAGCCTTTATATAGGTCTAAGATTTCAATTTGCTATTTGTGGACGAATGTCACAAATACCCTAGTTTACTTCATGTTTTATTATGCATAATTTTGATCTATGTTGGCGATATCTCGAGCATTACACATAATTTAACAAAAGTGTGGTGCGCCGTTAATTCAGGAGACGTCATTTTCACAGTCGTTTTCATGGGAATCACATCAGAAAAAAATTACTATATTTCTGTTAGTACTTAAGATATCACGTCAGAAATCTAAATACATGATAATAGAACAATTTAAAGATACATTTTAGAAAATTGTCGAAAAATATCGCGAATTATAGAAAATGAATGAGTTAAATTTTGGGTTTCGCATGCTTTTGCTTCAAATTTTTAGTCGTACTCTATACCTCTCCATCAGCGATATCAACACAACGATAATTTTAGATGATTTTTTTTTTTAAATACAGAAATTTTGTCCAAAATTTATTGGACCCTTTAAGATACATATTTCTATGAGATATCATAACTATATGACGTCTATAAGAGTTAATAATAGCAGAGTTCGCGTAATTTTTGAACGGCCCTCGTATAGTTAAAAGCAAATTAATTTCCTGAGTAGAAATCTAAATAATTGTTAATATAATGACGCTCTGCATTAATACATGTAAACTGTGTCAACGGAATATGAATCTGCTACAACTGCACATGTACATGTACGTTTACGCTAAGCTCTCACTTATGTATATGTAAACATTTATATATCAGACACTTCAAAGCTCGTATTAATTAACGAACATTGAATGATAAAGTACTTTTTTTACTTCAAAATACAATACACAGAAATTTATAAACAAATATTAAAAGAGTGAAATGCGACTTTTCCGACCACATAATTATAAATCATTGCTATTAAACTTTGTGTGTACTGTTTCTAATGCATTTATTAATTATTAATCCCTGAAAATTATTTAAGACTTACCCGGTAATCTTATATAAGGCATATTCGAAGGGCGGGATGTTGAAAGTCCGTAACCAATTGAAAATTAGGTAAACATGATTTAACAAAATAGCCAAAAACAATATTGACTTCTTAAATAAAGTTATAAACGTATATGGAATGAAATCGATAAATACTATAAATTGATTCAGTGCAATACATTTATTCGTTTTGCATGGACAAGGCGCTATCAGACTTCTTTTCTTTATTTATAGTAAAATACTGTAAAAAAAAAATTAACGCGAGCAAATTTTCATAGTTAAGAATGTTAGAATTATTTCAATCTTTTCTACGGTCAAAGAGATTGTTTCCTAGAATTAATTCTGTCTGTAACCTGATGAAAACCCGGTGATCCGATAGAAAACCCGATGATGCGAAAGTTCATGTACCAAAAGTGCAGTACATTTTTTTTAAGTTTATTAAAAGACTTATTTACATAATCATTAGGGTAACGTCGTACAAAATAAAATAAATCAGAGGATTGAGTTACGAGATTTTGTTTCATTAAATTGATTTTTATTATTATTATTTTTTTTTAATTCAAGCAAGGAAATGCTTTTTTAAAAACCGTTAATTGTAAAATTATTAAATTGATTTAGAAACAATTTTTAATGAGTGTAGTTCACACAAGGTATGAACAGAATCCCGAAAATAGATACGGTTTGGCACAAGGTGAGAGAGCAGTTCAGGTATGTTGTTGGTGAACACACACGGGCCGAGGTGTCATTTAGGGGGAAAGACGAGAAGGGGGAGGGCGTGTTGATCGCACAGGAAGGCGGTGTGTTGATTAGAGAGGAGCAAATAAGTGTCAGTTTTCTGGTAGGGAAGGCTCTTCGATTTGACACTCAGGTACATTATATTTTCAGTTTATTTCCACGCCGAAAGGGTAAGCTATGAAAAGTCATCGTGTTTTTCCTGTTTATTATTTTTAAATTATCTAATGCCAGATAAAATTAGTGAGAAACTTCTATTTTATAGTAACTGCCACGGTGTGATAAATCCGGTAGAGCACTTTCATGCATTACATTTTATAATTTTGATTTTTTTAAATTTAGACATATTAAGGAATTTAACTAATTAGATAAAATAAATTTAAAAAATTGCGCCTATACGGACAAAACCAGTGTTAAAGTTATCTGGATCAATATCTTAATTAAATGCTTCGTTATTATTTTTCTTAAATCAAGATAATTGTGCATACATGCAGGTCAGAGGCGAAAACAAATTCCTACTATTACCAGATGATTGATCGGGAGAAAATAGATATTGCATTGAAAAAAGATACACATCATTACTTTCTATTTCCACTAAGGAAGAATTATACTTAATGTGCACTCTTGTGAAGAAGTCAGACAATGTACAAAGCTTGCAATATTTTGGGGACAGACGTAGACAGAACCCTTTTTATCGTTGATATCATGTTGTCCCTCCGACCCAGTTTAACGATAGAATTTGTTACCTAAATGTATTTAGCATTGTAGCAAAATGCACACGTACGATAGCTCGAATTCAGTGCATTTACGACGAACAATCTAGAAAGTTCCAAATTTGAACATGGCGTGAAGATATGAAGCAAGAAAATGTTGAAAGAATAGCTAAATTTTTGTCTATACATGGATTATACATGGATTTTTTTTAGGGGGGGGGGGTTATCACAGTCGTCAGTTGTAGTTTAAATATGTAAATTTTCATTTGGAAGCAGCATGTCCATTCCCTCCTTTTTTGTTTTTCGATCATACATGGGCAACTTCAAGCTTTTTAAATAAAAAAAACCCAGTTTTATAACATCACTAATTTCTTTCGACTTGCGTGTCATGTCGAAAAACATTGATGGATAAGAAAAAGCAGACGAAAACATTAATTCGCCCTCAAATTAGGTTTTAGGTCATTAAAGATGTTACAAATATATTAGATATATAACTATAAATAAATAACTCAACAATTGATGAATTTTAACATGAATGTCGTTTTTATTTGATACTTAAAAAAATCGCCATGTTGTTTTTTTGCGAATATTTTTTGAGGAATAATGTACCTTCGAACGGTGAAGAGGCTAGAGGCTAATGTAGAGGCACAAGGATAAGATGCGTTCGGAGAAAAAGATAGCGGACAAGTATACTCAACACAGTAAAGGCTCCAAAAAGGAGGCAGGTCTTAATTAAATCGTGAAAACTAATCTTTTTTTTAATCTAATCTAACAATCTCACAAAGCTACAAGTAGCATACCAACTTAAATGTAATGCAGATATTCATATCATTGGTTTAATTGGTGTAACCATATTTATGCAATTAACAATTAGAAAGGAAATCGGCACAACAGAAATACATGTTCGTATCTTACGTCGGTCTTTATCTGTAGAAAGCATGAATCCTTCTTTACCAACTGCATTCTCTGATGCCACTACAAGCTGATAAAAACCTTCATCATCTCCTGAGAAATTTTGTATCTGTATTGATAGCATATTCCTTGTTCTTTTTATCACTGTCTTGTTTGGAGTATCTTCCAAAATGATGAATTGTCCATTCGGCCCAATACCTTTTAGCCACATGACAAAAGAAATGTCAACATCCACACTGGCCTCTACTATCACTTTAGTACCGTATTCAACATCATTTACCTTGAGTGATATGAGAGGAATATCTATCAAAATAAATAGATAAAATAAATATAAATCATGTACATGTTTAGGAAGGGCAGATGATATAATGTTTTCTTTGGAGGTGGCTTAAAATTATGTCAGAGTTTAAAAAGGTGATAATTCTTTTCTATGATAGTGAAAAATATTTGAAAATAGTAGTAACTGTTAATATTACATGTAGTTTAGTTAATACTTCAATAGAATTACAAATGAGCCTCGTCGGATAGAAATCGACCTTATCGTATGCAACGTCATAATGAGAAATAAACGAATAAAGTTAAGAAAGATTTCCCGATATTTTTACTACACATGGTTTTCACATTAAGAAATGTTTTAGACATCGTTTACTGCAGTTCACAGATTTTGTCTTTACAAATCGGATCATTTTAGATATGTACTAATAAAATAAGCAAATTTTAAATGTATTTCCCTTCGTAGAGCCTTAACTTCTTTATCGTTACCATGGATCAATGTAAAGAAAAACACCGAGTCCGATCTACATATTTTTTTTTTCAAACAGCAGACGACGTGAGGTTTCAATACAGTCTGCGTAATCAATTGTTTTGTTGTGAGGTGTGTTGTATTTGTATTGTTTCATCATGTCTATTATTAGTAACATTAAGTTTCTTGAACATTCCAGAGTGGTCAACATGTTCGGTCATTGTTTCTAGAACATTCCTGAACTTTGTGTATGTCCAGAACTTTCCAGTAATATCATGTACTTACAACTTCTAGAATATTCTAGATTTATAATACTGTATAAATACCCTGTCAATTCGATGCATAGAGACTTTTGGTCGTATAAGCATCATTGAGGTATTACTGGGATATAATTTAACTGGGACATTGTGTGCAGCAACGGACACTCTGATGTATGTATTTTTAGATTTTTGCTAAGTTTGTACTTAATGATTTGTATATTACTGTAAATAAATTATTGTTAAGGTTAAACTGTGTGATTGATCTTTGCTGGCATTTAGGGTTATTCTGACCCATAACAGAATTGGGGGCTCGTCCGGGATAAAGAATTTCTTGCACTTTTGCAGTTTATTGTCAAAATTTTGTTTATTGAACTGTTAAATTTGACTATAAGCCAGCAAAAATCAACATGGTATTTTCGGTCACAGACTTTCTTAGTTCACCAAGTGTTCAGGTTTTTGATACGTTAAAAAAGGATGACTTGATCGCGTTAGGTTTGCATCTTGGGTTAGAGGTTAAATCTTCACAGAGAAAGCAAGACATTAGAATAAAGGTTGCAAACAAACTAGTTGAAGAAAACATCTTTGGAAAATATGATCTTCCAGATTATACACTTAAATCAGAATCTTATAATATGTCAGAATTTCAGTATCAAGTAGAGTTGGAAAAAATGAGATTTGAAGAACGAGAGCGTGAACGGAAATTTGAATTAGACAAATTAGATAGAGAAAGAGAAGAGCGAGAAAGAGAAAGACAAGAGCGAGAAAGAGAGCGTGAAATGAACTTTGAATTAGAGAAATTAAAATTACAAAACCAACCAGAACCGTCATTTGTCAAGAATGAATTTGACGCAGCAAAAAATATTAGATTAGTTCCAAAATTTCAAGAAAAATCTGTAGACAAATATTTTCCCCAATTCGAGAAAGTCGCAGAGAATCTTAAATGGCCACAACACGTTTGGTCAACAATGTTACAAAGTGTACTGGTTGGCAAAGCAGCGGAGGTATACTCTGCACTAGGGGTAGCTGAAAGTTTAGACTATGAGAAGGTCAAAGCAGCAATATTAAAAGCCTATGAATTAGTACCTGAAGCGTATAGACAAAAGTTCAGAAAGTATAGAAAGTTTGATAATCAAACATTTGTTGAATTTTCACGAGAGAAAGAAGATTTATTCGATCATTGGTTTAGATCTAAGAAACTTGATAAAACCTTTGCTAATTTGCGCCAAGTCATCCTGGTAGAAGAGTTTAAGGAATGTGTTCCTCAAGATTTGAAAACACATTTAGAAGATAAGAATGTGAAAACTCTTGAAGAGGCAGCAGTCATATCTGATACTTATGCTCTGTCTCATAAAAAGAATTTTGTATCAAGATCTCAGACTAGTAGTAATTCTACCAATTCAGACACATATAAAAAGAGTGGTTCAGGGTCTCGGTCTTCCACAAGTCTCCAGTCTCCATCACAAGGTGGTTCTAAGTCCGGTGCAGGACGTTTTGAAGGATCTTCTGGAATAGGGTCGCTTCCTACTTGTAGTTATTGTAAGAAAAAAGGTCATCTGATCAGTGAATGCTTTAAACTTAAGAGAAAAAATGACTTTGATAAAACTCAACCACATGCTTGTGCGGCAGTTAGAGGTGATAGAGAAGCCTTAGTTTCGATTTGTTCTGACACTCCTGATGTCCAGGATTCACAGTCCAGTTCTATTGATTCTATGGAGGATTATAAGCCCTTTATGTCTCAGGGATTTGTTTCACTCGGTGACTCTAGCGAAATTAAACCTGTCAAGATTTTGAGAGATACTGGTGCTGCACAGACGTTATTGTTAGAGGGCGTGCTTCCTTTGTCTGAGCAGACTTCTACTGGTGGGACAGTTTTATTACAGGGTGTGGAGCTAGGTGTCATTGATGTTCCCCTGCATAGAATTAGTTTGAAGTCAGATTTAGTTACTGGACCTGTTATCGTAGGTGTTCGACCTACTCTTCCCGTTCCAGGCATTTCTTTGTTGCTAGGCAACGATTTAGCTGGTGGAAAAGTTGTACCAGATCCTATAGTTTGTGAGAAAATCACTTCCAATGTCATGTGCGATGATGAAGATGATGACATTTATCCAGCCTGTGCTGTTACTAGAGCGATGGCCAGAAGACGAGAAATGGAGGCAGACCATACTCAAGCCTTTGACGAAACGAATTCCTCTGTTGATATTGATTTGAATGACACTTTCTTATCTGACCTTGATGGCACTCAAACAAGCATGGAACCACACAATATCAAGAAGCAAGAGAAGAAAGAACTTTTACCAAAATTTGGTGGTGAGGATGATGAGTTGCATCCACTAGTTAGCCAAGGCAAGGACATCCTCAGCCGAGAACGTTTACTCTCTGAACAACATAAAGACCCAGATATCATTCAACTTAGTAAGAGGGCACTGCCACCAGAAGAGGCTACTAAAGTTGGAGAATGCTTCTATATGAAAGTTGGCATCCTTATGCGAAAATGGCGACCACCTGACGCTTCCCCAGATGAAGTGTGGCGTGTTGTTCACCAGATAGTGGTCCCAGCTGCTTATCGTCGAGATGTCATGAGTTTAGCTCACGATACACCTATGGCTGGTCATTTAGGTATCAATAAGACTTATAACAGGATTTTGAGTCATTTTTATTGGCCTAAGCTAAGAAAGGATGTTTCGAAGTTTTGCAAGTCATGCCATGTCTGTCAGATGGTAGGTAAACCAAATCAGAAGATACCATCTGCTCCTCTCCAACCCATTCCAGCTTTTGAAGAACCGTTTAGTCGAGTGTTAGTGGATTGTGTAGGACCTTTGCCTAGGACTAGATCTGGAAACCAGTATTTACTTACCATTATGTGTACATCCACTCGGTTTCCTGAAGCCATACCTCTTAGGAATATAAAGGCAAAGAGCATAGTTAAGGCCCTAACCAAGTTTTTCAGTTTTGTAGGAGCACCCAAGGCAATTCAGTCGGACCAAGGCTCAAATTTTATGTCGGGGTTGTTCCAGCAAGTCATGCATGAGTTGGGTATTAGGCAGTATAGATCAACTGCTTATCATCCTGAGTCCCAGGGAGCGCTAGAACGTTTTCATCAAACCCTAAAAACAATGCTGAAGACCTATTGTTACCAGTATGAAAAAGAATGGGACGAAGGTGTTCATCTTGTGCTGTTTGCTGCACGAGAAGCAGTCCAGGAGTCTCTTGGGTTCAGTCCTTTTGAATTGGTGTTCGGTCATACAGTTAGAGGTCCTTTGAAATTGTTGAAGGAAAAGTGGCTGACTGAGACTAGTGATCTTAATCTTTTAGATTATGTGTCTGATTTCAAAGAAAAACTTTACAATGCTTGTAAATTAGCACAAGAAAATTTGAAGAGTTCTCAGATGAAAATGAAAATGTGGTATGACAAAGATGCCAGAAATAGGGTGTTTAAGCCAGGTGATAAGGTTCTTGTATTTTTACCTATTCCTGGTCATCCCTTACAGGCCAGATTTTATGGCCCTTATGAAATTGAAAGCAAGATCAGTGATGTAAACTATGTAGTTAAGACACCAGGTCGACGTAAAGAGAAACGGGTTTGTCACATTAACATGTTAAAAGAGTATTTTGAAAGGTGTGACCGAAATTCTGTAAAACCAGTTTCCACTTTAGCCAATGCTAAGACTGTTCAAAATTGTATTGAAAGTGATACGAGTGTAGAAATGAATGAGAAAGATTGTAATCAGAGTGTCCGCTTGAAAAACTCAGAAATTTTGGCTGATTTTGATGCCAAACTTGGACATTTGAACATTCACCAAAAAGAACAAGTTAAAAACTTGATGAATGAGTATCATCAAATCTTTTCGGATGTTCCAAAGAAAACTAATGCAGCTTGTCATGATGTCATAGTTGGCGACGCTCTGCCTATCAAACAACATCCGTACCGTCTCAATCCAATAAAATTGCAGTACCTAAGAAGGGAAGTGCAGTACATGTTGGACAATGACATTGTTGAAGCTAGTAAAAGTAATTGGAGCTCACCATGTATTCTTGTACCAAAACAGGACGGTACCTACCGATTATGTACAGACTTTAGAAAGGTGAATTCTGTTACCAAAACTGATTCATATCCAATACCTAGAATTGATGACTGTATTGACAGCATTGGAAACACCAAATTTGTCAGTAAATTTGACCTGTTGAAAGGCTACTGGCAAGTGCCGTTAACAGAAAGAGCAAAAGAAATATCTGCTTTTGCTACACCAGATGGACTTTATCAGTATAAAGTAATGCCTTTTGGCATGAAAAACGCACCGGCT